CTCAAAGCAGGGGTGCCTGAATGGCTCAGTGAGTTAAAGCCTCTGCCTTCAGCTCAGGTCATGATCTCAGGGTCCTGGGACCGAGCCCCACATCAGGCTCTCTGCTCGGCATGGAGCCTGCTTCCCTCTCTGTCTCTGCCTGCCTCTCTGCTGCTTGTGATCTCTCTCTCTCTGTCAAATAAATAAATAAAATCTTAAAAAAAAAAAAAACCCTCGAAACAAATGACTCTCAGGCTCACATATCCCACTTCTAGAAATCCCAGAAAGATAGAATTTGGACAACTCATATCCCATTATATTTATCACAGGATTATTATAATAAAAGTTAGAAATATGAGTGGTGAACAAGATCAAATAAATTATGGTACCCTCTACTTGACTCCTTTCTAGCCATTAAAAGACTATAGCAATACAAATCTCTGAAAAGATACAAACCTTTGTGCATCCAGCATAATTCTGGGTGAAAAATGGAGTGCACTCACTGACGTGTGAGGGTTATGTAGCATTGCGGATTTTCCTTTTCTTTCAAAAAGGAGATGTGTAGCAAATGCTACAGATAGACAAAAAGTGGGAACATAAGATAATAAGTTTCTTTCCTCTTTTTAGGAAGACTTGATAGTAATGATAATTGTCATTAGCGGTTCTTATCTGGAATTCGTTTTAATTCTTTAACTTCTGTTCTTAAAATTTATTCAGAATAAGACACTCCATTAGAGATAAGCAACAGCTATCTACCTAGGGCTGTGGTGCACCAGACCTTTTTTTTTTTGGGGGGGGCAACATTTTCTTGTGTTCTGGGGCTGAAGGAAGCCTCCACAATCAGCTGGTAAGAATGCGTTGAGTGTTGACCAGCTGTAGTAAAGAGCAAAGGTGGTCTCACATGATCTCTGCTTTTGTTTACAGATCTTAGGAGAAAAGTACTGTTCATCCCAAAATGATGAGGGCAGGCTGCCTGGAATGGAGAAGTGCATATCCAGGCAGTTTGGTTGTTTATTCAAGATGTGTTAATATGTGGTCATTCCATTTTTGGGGGGAGGGGGAGCCTAATTCATTTATATATAGTCCAAATACTTGAAATAAAAAGGGAAATCATATCAAGTGTTAAAACTAGAGTATCGGGGGTGTCTGGCTACTCAGTCAGTGGACCATGTGACTCTTGATTTTGGAGGTTGTGAGTTGGGAGCTCTATATTGGGTATAGAGATTACTTAAAAATAAAGTCTTAAAAAAACAAAACTAAACTAAACAAGATCTTGACACACCTTTCCCTTGCCTTGTAAATGGAGAACAATTTGGTAACTTAGAGCAAACTAGAGCAGCTAACATCCTAGGGAGAATATAATCAAAAACCACCTCCTCAGGCTAAATTTTCATGTGAGAGAGAAATTTTTTTTTTTAAGATTTTATTTATTAGAGAGAGAGCACAAGAAAGCATGAGCTGGGGGAGTGGCAGAGGGGGAGGGAGAAGCAGATGAAGATGGATACGCAGGTTCCCCACTGAGCAGGGAGCCTGATGTAGAGCTCAATCCCAGGACCCTGAGATCATGACCCAAGCTGAAGGCAGATCCTTAACCAACAGAGCCATACACATACCTCAAGAGAAAAAAATTTTATATAGACAAGAACTAAGACTTGTTACTTGATGGAAAAGACCAGAATTTGGATAATAAACTAAATTAATGGGTTTGTCCATCTATGTTACAGTATTGTAACTTTATTATTTAATCACACGCTTTTCAAAAACTAACATTTCTCTACCAAGAGGTATCTGGATTTTGTTTTCTTTTCTTCCCTTCCAAGACATTCCTAGAAAAGATGCTGTGACCTCCATATACATTTCCTGGTTACACTTAAGATCTCAGGCAGTGAGTGTGCCTGGTTCTCTGTCTTACTAGCCAAGGAACCTCATTGAGGTTGTTCTAGGAATCCATGAGGTGGAGAAAAGAGGCCCCTTTCTTGAAGGTATGCATGGGTCTCTTGGCTGCTGGTGGCAGTTGGTATTTACTATGATTGGAAGATTAGGCATGATTCAGCCAGGATTGAGTAAATAGAAAAAGGCCCCTGGTGCTAGTGCATGTCATTTCCCATGGGTAGCAGACCCCTTCTCAGTCTTCATCATGGAAAAGTTATGTTTGCCTCTGAGTCCTGGCTATTATTTCATCTATTTATGTCCTGTTTTATTACACTCCCATTATGGATCAGGTATGGTTCTGGGTACTCAGGGTTTAATAGTGAACCTAAAGTCTAATTCCATCCCTCTGTACTTTGTAGTCTAGCCAGGGACAAGCAAGAAAACTATAGAGTATATTAGTTGATAAGTTGATATGTTCTATTGAGAAATGCGGTCATTATAGTAGTTTAACGTGGTAAGGGAAAGCCTTGTTGAGAAGACACTGGAGAGAGGGCCATGCAGCTAGCCAGCAGGGTGAGGAGGCCTCCAGATGGTGTTGAGGCTCTGAGGCAGGGCTGTGCCTGATGTGTTCAAGGAACAGCATGAGACCAGCAGGAGTGGGAAAAAGCAGATGATGGGTCTTTGGAATAGTCTGGAGGATAGTATGGCAGAAGGGATCAGATAGTGAGACTAACCAGAGTAGTCTATTCTTCCATTTTTAGATGCGAACGAGCGTGAAATTGGCCTGGAGTTTTGTGATAATGGAGCAGAATGTGTGAACAGATTTGGCTCTTACTAATATCGCTGCCAAAAGGAGTACGAAGACCATACCCCCCACAGCCTGGCACGTGGTGTGTGCACACTCCTCACAAAGGCACGGGATGCTCAGATGCCCTCTGAGCTTGCATGCTTGTGAGCTGCTGGTATCTCCTGTGAGATCTGTACCATCCTCAGGGCAGGGTTGAGCTCTCAATCTGATATCCCTGGCCATGAACACCAAAGCAAACGTTCCCTGAAGGATACAAACTCCAGAAACTCTTCTAGAACTTGGAACATGGTATCAAACCATTTACTGTAAGAATCTTCATTGTACTGATTTTTCTTTTGCAAACTTAGTTTTGGAGCATTTCCATACAAATGCCATTCCTGACTCTGATGAAAATAGGTGTGTGTAGAATTTACCTTTAACATCTATCTGGTTGTTTCCCCAAGGCTCTGTCATGCCCTTGCTTTTAGAGGTTTTCTTACCAAAGATGGAATTGGGCAGGGTCTTCTTGCATGGGTTTGAGTGAGCTTCTTCTAAGCAGGTTTGGCACAGAGAAGTTGTTAATGAACTATCCGATGCCCTTAGCTTATTAAAGTTGTTGTTGGTGATGGTGATTCACTTGGTACAGTTACCTCTGAAATAGTACAAACGGCCTGGTGCCACCACAGCAGATCAATAGACATAATTTCTCTTTCTCATCTTGCTAACTTGCTGTGTGACCTTGGTCCTCGTGTCTTGAACACCCCTATGAAACGAAGGGTTCAACTAGACATCAAAGTTTTGTCTAGCTCTTTGAATATTAGATGTTGAAATTCCAGCAAAGATGCTATTGGACTCTAAGGGCAGGTGAGTGACCTTGCAATGCTGTTCATAGTTCTTCAAGTTTTTATGTGTGTGTGTCTCTTAGTTTTTATATTTCAAAGGAAGATTGCATTTGGCACAAAATACAGGCTCAGTATGTATTAACTGAATATCTTATGATTAGGAATATACTTGTGACCGACAATATGCAATTTTTCCATATTTTTTCTCTTCCTGTGCCCTCCAAGTGTCTAGATGAGGTGATGTCTTAGTCCGTTTGGTCTGTTCTTAAAGAATACCATAGACTGGGTGGCTCATAGACAACAGAAACTGTTCTGGAGGCTGGAAGTCCAAGACCAAGTTTCCAACAAATTCAGTGCCTGGTGAGAACCTGCTTCCTGCTTCTTAGACAGCCATCTTCTTCCTGTGTCTTCACATGGTGGAAGGGGGCACGGGTGTCCCTTGGGCCTCTTTTATAAGAATACTAATCCCATTCACAGGGGCTCAACCCTCATGACCTAATCACCTCCCAAAGTTTCCACCTTCTAATACCATCACCTTGAGGGTTAGGATTTCAGTATATGAATTTGGAGAGGACATAAACATTCAGTCCATGGCCTGCAGTGACAAGAGTTAAGCTGAAATAAGTTCTGTGAGGCAGCCATCTTGAAGTTCCAGAAATCTGGCATCTGTGGATTTTGCTCTAAAGATCGTTTCTAGATGGTATGCAAAACTAGTTATAGTTCTTTGGATCTATAGTAAGTTACATGATGATGGAATACATTTTGGAATACAACTGGCTCTTGTGCTTCTCTTGGTGAATGGTCTCAAATTTAACAGTTTCTGTCTTTTTAAAATAATTTTAAAATTTTTTTAATAAACATATAATGTATAACAGTTTCTGTCTTTTAAAAAATAGTCAAAATTAATTTCTGAGGGGCGCCTGGGTGGCTCAGTGGGTTAAGCCGCTGCCTTCGGCTCAGGTCATGATCTCAGGGTCCTGGGATCGAGTCCCGCATCGGGCTCTCTGCTCAGCAGGGAGCCTGCTTCCCTCTCTCTCTCTCTCTCTCTCTCTGCCTGCCTCTCTGTCTACTTGTGATCTCTCTCTGTCAAATCAATAAATAAAATCTTTTAAAAAAATTAATTTCTGATATGCCTAAGATGGGAGACTTTTAATCATTAGCTCATAGGAAATTTAGAATCCACATTGCAAAAGGATGAGGGACATTTTTCAAAGTTAACTCCGTATGTGAATAGGGTTCTTGAGGGAGCTGTATAGCCAAAGTTGGTAACAAGTCTTTACATTACCAGGTTCATTTTGTTCCAAGTCTGGCTTTGGCTTTGATAAAATATTAGCAGTTAGTTCATTTGTTTATTCTCTTGAAAAATAAGTACCTATGAATGTGCCAGGCAATATGCTAGGGACCGGGGATAAGAGTTTATAAATCTCTGAAGGTGCTTTTGAGAGACTGTTAGGTAATGAAATATAAGCCTGACATTTGGTTTTCTTTAAAAAAAAAAAAAAAGTTTCTTTGTATTTCAGGAGTTGAGCTATCCTTTAATAACCTGGACCTGCTGGTTGGAATTGCTGTGTTCACTGCAGTCTTGCTCATGTTGGCTATTGGCCCCATGTGGCTCTTGACGAGAACCTACATTAAGAAGGAAAATTCTGAGTCAGAATGTGGCATCACAGAAGCACCTGCCTATAGCACCTGCTTTTGATCCGATGGACCTCTGCAGACACCTTCCCTTCAACCCCTCCCAGCCTTAGTCCCATGCCAAGGTTCCAGATGGTGCTCAAGGCAAGAATATACCTCGAAACAGGGAACTGCAGATGTGGGAGGAGCAATCAGAGGCTCTGGGGATAGCTGCTGCCTCTAGAAAGGAGGGTGGGAGGAGAATTGTCCTTTGGAGGTAAAAACTTCACCGTGCCATCAAATCACACACTCTTAATTTAGGAAGAACTGCCTTGAATCTGATTTTGCCTGTCACTTCTGTTCTCTCTGAGTCCACTGTGTTGTGGTTCCTGACTCTCCCTGGGGAGAAGGCCGTGTGTGTGTGTGTGTATGTGTGTGTGTGTGTGTACGTGGTGGTGGTGGTGGTGATGGGGAGCTTGCCTCAGGACTCAGCCTGTAATCCTGGCAAAGGGCTGAGGTAGACTTCTGGTGACCCAGACACTCCAGGTGATGAGTGTGGTCCACAGAAGGTGTCTAGCAGAGGAGGAAACATATGGTACCAACTTACAAAGTTGAACAAGTTTTTCAGTAGTGTTTAACATGGTCTAGAAAACGCAACCTCAGCACTTCTCTGTCTTTTTAGGGAAAAAGAAACTCCCCTAAAAGTAGAGAGTGAGAACTCTTGATTCTTTCCCCTCGATACTTGGTTGTATTTTATTGGATTATGAATTTGTTGTTATGGAGACATTCTGCCTTCTGTTCTATTTCCACCACCACATGTGTCAGGTTGATATCAGAGCCCTATGGCTTTCCCTAAATAAAAAAGAAACACTTTTGTGTATTAAAAGAAATACAACTGTGTGGCTCATCTTTTTAAAATCTACCACTAGTGTCTGGCTCTTAATCTTTTAAAAACGAGGCAGTCACCATTTGTTTTAAAGGTTCCCAAACCACAGAGTCCCTGGGTGGTTCAGTTGGTTAAGCATCTGCCTTCAGGTCTGGTCATGATCCCAGGGGCCTGGGATGGAGCCCCACATCAGGCTCCCTGCTCCATGGGGAGTCTGCTTCTCCCTCTTCCTCTGCTCCTCCCCTCCTTGCACTCTCTTTTCTAGATAAATAAATAAAATCTTTAATTAAAAAAATGTTTCCCAGACTTAATTCCAATGCTGGAGCTCCCCATACACAACACAAATCAATTAGCAGGCCCCTGAGGATATTGGAGAATCCAGTGAATTCTTTTTTTTTTTTTTTAAGATTTTATTTATTTGAGGGAGAGGAAGCATGAGAGGAGAGAGGTCAGCGGGAGAAGCAGACTCCCTGCCAAACAGGGAGCCCAGTGTGGGACTCAATCCCGGGACTCCAAGATCATGACCTGAGAAGAAGGCAGTGGCTCAACCAACTGAGCCACCCAGGCGCCCCGAGAATTCAATGAGTTCTAACACTACCTACCTGGAGGTGCCATGAGATTCCACAGGTTAAGGGTTCAGTCCTACAGATTACCCCCCACTCCCACTTCAGATACCAATTGAAAGCCCCAGGCTGGCTACATAGTGGAGGTTCCAGTGACTTCCTTCTTAGGTTTGATTAATTTGCTAGAACTTCTCCCAGAACTCAGGAAAATGTCTATTTACATTTGCCTGTTTATTAAAAGATATGATAGGAAATACAAATCAACAGCCAGATGAAGAGTTGCATAGGGCCAGGCCCTGAACAAAGGAGCTTCTGCCCTCAAAGGGCTTGGGGCCTGGCTTGGTGGCATGTGGAAGCATTCTTGTTTCCCAAGTGTGGAAGCTCTCCAAAAATGACTGAAAGCTGTCTCACTGGTTTGGTAGAGAGGCTCCATTACAGTGTCATGATTGACTAGGTCATTGGGCTTTGGATGATTCAACCTCCAGCTCCTTTTCCCTCCCAGGGGTGGGAATGGGAGGTAGGACTGATAGTTCCAACTCCCTAATCACATGGTCGGTCCTCCTGGCAACTAAGTCCTGCCTTGGAGTGGAATCTGAAAGTTACCTCATTAATAACAAGATGCCCATCTGATGTTTATGTCCCTGAAGCATTTTCAGGACCTGTGGATGAAGACCAAACACACCTGAGAGATGTATTTTGGTCATCTGAATGACCAAATACATATTATTTACAAGTCATTATATTGTACATCCCTTAGCTTTTTTGTCTTCACTTGGCATTTGGTGGGGGGGAGACTTTGCGTGGGATGCAAGGAGTCTTAAATATGTTTCCTGTTCTCATTATGCTCATTTTTGCTTATCAGCTGCATGGAGTTCAGGAGGAGCTGGGCAGGATGAGGTGAAGGGCTCTTCTCAGATGTGGAAGGTCTATACTGCTCCAGCTGCTCTTACTTGGCTGTGGGGTTGGGCTGCAGCAGGTTCTGTGCCCACCTTGTAGAAAGTTGAGTCAGGGGAGCCAGGGTACTATTGCGTGAATTGGGCTACATAAGGCAGGTACCGGTGTCCACATGGGACCCTAGCCAAGGTGGGAGATGAAAGTGTGCAGCTTTGTTCTCATTCTGCCCCAGAGGGCAGAATGGAGGAGGGACCAGTAGAGCTGGGGCACCTGCTAGTGGGGCAGGACACTGCTGACCAGGATGACCTGAAGAAGTACTGGCCATTGTCAAGTGGTCTTCCATCATACTCAAGGTTTTGAAATCTTTTTTGCCTCTTTTAAAATGCAAATACTCCTGGGGCACCTGGGTGGCTCAGTGGGTTAAACCTCTGCCTTCAGCTCAGGTCATGATCTCAGGGTCCTGGGATGGAGCCACATATCGGGCTCTCTGCTCGGCGGGTAGCTTCCTTCTCTCTCTCTCTCTGCCTGCCTCTCTGCCTACTTGTGATCCTCTCTGTCAAATAAATAAATAAAATCTTTTTAAAAAAATGCAAATACTCCTAAGAGGTTTGAGCCCTCATCAACCTATGTACTTGGAGCTGCACCTTCTTTTTAAATAAGTTTTACTGAGGTATAATTTACATACCCTAAAATTCACCTATTTTAACTGAGCTGTGCAACTGTCATCATAGTCCAATTTTACAAGATCCCTTGTGTGTATATTGTTGTCATTCTCTTTCCACCGTCAGTCCCAGGCAACCACTAAACTTTCCAGTTCTTTGAGTACCTCTTGAGATTTCATGTAAACGGAACTCTACAATATGTGGTTTTGTGTGTCTGCTTTTGCTTAGTATAAAGTTTCTGAAGTTCATCCATATTATAGCAGGTCAGTAATCTGCCTTTTCATTGATGAATAATATTTCATTGTATTTACCACATTTTCATTCTCTGTTGATGAACATGTGAGTTATTTCCAGGTTTTGGCTATTATGAATAATGTAGCTGTAAACATTTGCATACATGTCTTTGGACATAAATGTTCACTTTTTTTTTTTTTTTAAGAGAGGGAGAGCACACAGGAGCAGGATAGGGGTGCAGAGGGAGGAAGAGAGAGAAAATCTTGGGCTCCATGCCCAGCATAAGCCTGATGTGGGACTCCATCTCACCACTCTGAGCTCATGACCTGAGTGGAAATCAAGAGTTGGACGCTGAGTGGAACCGACTGAGATAACAGGCACCCCATAAATGTTCACTTATCTTGGATAGATTCCTGGGAGTGAAATTGCTGAGTCATATGGTAATTTTTGCTTAACTTTTAAAGAAACTGCCAAATTATTTTCTGAGGTGGTCAAACCATTTTGCCATGCCACCAGCAATGTATGAGGATTCCAGTTTTCCCACATCCTTGCCAAAGCTTGTTAGTGTCTTCTATTATAGCTATCCTAGTGGGGGATGAAGTGGTATCTCATTGTGGTTTTAATGATTCCTGCCCTTCCTAATGTTACAGACAGAGCATCTTTCATGTGCTTATTAGTCATTCATTTTCTGTGGTGAAACATTGCCTCTTTGGCCATTGCTTCTGAAAATCCCAAGAGAGGGAGATTATAAATTTCCCTGGGGGTAGAGTAGGGGGCTTTCTTGTTTTTTTAACTGCCTGATCTCTACTGCCTAATACAGGAGTTGAGAGTAGAAGGCCATGTGCTAGTTTCTGCTGGCTGCTGTAACCAATTATTACAAACCTGATGGTTTAAAACAACACACATTTATTCTCTTACAGTTCTGGAAATCAGAAGGTCTAAAATCCGTTTCACCGGGTCAAACTCAAGTTATCAACAGAGCCTCCAGGGGAAACATCCATTTACTTGTCTTTTCCAGTTTTGAGAGCTCCATTCTTTGGCCTCTGGCCCCTTACTCATCTTCAAAGTAAGCAGTAGTCTCTTAAATCCCCCTTCCCCCCTGTTCCTTTGTAATACCGTTTGCTTTTCCTTCTGTAGTAAAACCTCCCTCTCCCTCCCTCTTGTAAGGACGCTTGTGATTACTTTTAAGACTCACCTGAATAATCCAGGATTATCTCCCCATCTTAACCCCCTTAATTTAATCACTCTTGCAAAATCCCTTTTGCCATTTAAAGTAGCACTCACAGGTTCCAAGGATTAGGACCTGGACATCTTCAGGGGCTGGGATTCATTCCCCCACCCAGTCAGTAACCAACCGCCAGGCCTCACCTGCGCATGCCCTGGAGTTGGCGGCTCCTGAGGAAGACCCGACCTGGGAAGCCTTTGGAAGCACAGGTAGGCCCTGGAGGGGTATCAGAGCTATTTACACGACAGACCTCTGACTTTTTTTTTCTTACTCATCTCTTTCTAGAACTTTTGAAGAGATGACAGCATTTTAGAGGGGAGAAGGGCTGAGGCAGCCAGAACTGCTACAATGAGGGTGTGGGGGCAGAATTCGCACTCAGGGCTTCTGATGACCACTACCCCTGCCCTCCAGGCGGGGTGGTGGGGCTGTGGCCGCCCGAGAACTCGGCCCCTCCAAGGTCGCTGTCGCCGTCCGGGCGGCAGCCCCGCTGCGGCCTCGCGTGCGGCCAGCAGGGGTCAGCATCCCC